GGAAATTTTGCGCGTTATCTATGCGCTGCACGAAGTACTAGCTCTTACATGATTTGGTTGTCAAGAGAGGAAACGATGCCTTTGGCGCTTGAAACGTGTACGCCTTGATAAAATGGCATACAGCCAATCTTGGACGCGATTATATATACCTTAACTCATAGCCCCCTTCATGCTCACAAAGCCTGCAGCAGTTCGACGACGGAGCCATAAAGTGCCCGGTCGCAGATTTGGAGCGCGAGGATCTGGTAGCACAGAGCGAACCATTTCGTCAGCGCATAGCTTTTGCAGCGGCGAGGAACCGAAAAACACTTCATATGAGTTTCGAATCTGCTGCGAGACGCCGCAGCGGGGCGCCAGTCACGTGGCTCTCCTCTCATTCGTTGTCTGCCGCTCCACCTTTTGCATTTCGGAGACCGCTTCTCGTGGCGATCTGCCAGGCTTTGTCAGTATAGAGGAGGCTATGCTTAATTAAAGAGGTAAATTATTAACGTTCCTCAAAAAATTTCTTTTTTTGTTTTTAGTATGGTTTTTGGTGTGAACACGAGTGTAGGTTGTATTGCTAGTCCAGCGCAAGCTTGCTGCCTTCGACAACGTCTCAGCATCTCGCGCATGTCAAGCGCGCGCGCGCAGCCAAAGCACGGCAGAAGGCATGGAGCGCGTGCTGACGGCCGGGTGCATGGAAGACACGTCCTTCCGTTCTCATTCCTTCAGTGACTATACATAAATTACATGCGCCGCATTTTGAGCCTTACCAAACTCCACTGCCACTCAGAGGAAATAAAGGGCCGGGGGGGTGGGGGGGGGGGGGGGGGGGGGGGGGGGTTACGTTGACCAGTGGCCTACGAAAACGTGTTGAAGATGAAATGGGTTGTGAAATAAATTTTTGGCTGGGATAAATAATTTTATATCTGAAGCTTAGTAATCGCATATTGTTTAATGGTCAAAAAAAAAAAGAGGGTAGAAAGTAAAATGCTTACTTTTCGGTAGGAAAATTCGCAAATATAGCGGACTACTTCGTACCTCCCGTCCTTCGAAAGCTGTCCGCCTTTTCACTGTGATACATCCGCGGTATCCAAAGCGCGTCGGCCTATACCCCAGCTCACGCATTAAACATGAGTACTGCGTCACACGGACGTATGCGCTCGTCAACAATCAGTACATCGACGAATATTTGAATTCGCTTTTGTGGGTAGTGAATGCCGTGACGGCACTTACCATCACTTGCGAATGATAAGTTTCATGGTGTGGGGGTTCAGTCCCCACCCCGACCCGTTTCAATCTGGATGAGCATCGTGCCGGCGTGCGGTCGTGTATCGCTACTGCGTGGTGCACGTTAAAGACCCCAGGCTAGCGGTTGTACTGCACCGGCTAAATTTCTCATCTACAGATGGGAGACAAGTCGCTCGTTTAACGCAGACTAACTGTAGGGCTGTATCAACATTCCCACAACCAATTTTTTTTTTCATTGTGTTCTTAAAAAGGAAGGTTGGAGCTTGGTGTCATCGTACCGATACCCAAGCACGTCAAGACCGCGTTGCCTAGACCCTTAAAGGGAAGCGAAATTTTGATTTTCCAAAATAAGGCCGCAGAAGCGTTGAACGGGACGCTACGAACTCCAAAACATCACTCATTCATCGATATCTCAAACGGATGGCCGTACTTTAGGAAAAGAAGGGCGCGATCAAGCGAGGTCTTTGACGTCACAGTCCCCTTGTAAAATTTGAGGATGAGTGGAAGCGGCCTCGCTTCGGTTCACCAGCTCCACCGGACGTAGCGAGGAGGAGAGAGAACAACAGTCGTTATGTGACTTGTATGACGATAATAATTTCTGGAGAAGGGGAACAGGAGGGACAAAGGACAAGCACAAATTTCCAAACACAACTAGGTGACTGGTGCGCGACCGAAAAATCCGCCTGGTTTTTCCGTCATGCACCAGTCACCTAGCTGTGTTCGCAGATTTGTGTTGCCCTTTGGTCCCCTTTGTTCCCCCTCTCCAGAGGTTATTATCATCATTCTTGTCCAGCTCGATTGCACGTCTTTGCATTTAATTGCATTATCATCACGTGCCTTGTCTCGTGGGCCTTGTCGGCCGTTTTCAATCGCTCACTTCTTTTCCGGAAATACGGCGATCCGTTAGAGATATCGCTGTACCAGTGATGTTTTTGGGTTTTGCAGGGTCCCGTCTATCCGTCCAGCTTAGTTCTGTGAGCTCGAAATTTAGGTTCAATATCCGTTTAAAGTAGGGTTGTGCGAATATTAGAAATTTCGAATAGTAGTTCCGAATAATACACTATTTGATATTCGCTTCGAAAAGAACTGCACTATTAGCGTTTTTCGAAGTATTGATTACGGCGGGTTAGCCCCGTTGAGTGCGCTTCTTACCAAGCACCGATGCGCTGTGGAGAAGCAACCCCGCGAAAGTGAGCTTCGCTGGTGTTGCTTCTCCGCATTACATTGGTGCTCGCGAAGAAGCGCACTTAACGGGATAACCCACCGCGATAAACAATATCGTTATTGCGTGCGCAAGAAAAGCATACATTCAAAGCGGGATGGTGCACCCTTGCCGACTGTATTTGAAAATAAATGGAAACTTTGTGAATGTGTATATTTATATTGTAGTAAAAGTTTCAAACTTAAACTTTTGTGGAAGAGTATACTATGTTAGGCTGAGATGCTTTTACAACATGTGTTCATCATGCGCGACTCATTCTTTTTTAACTTGAGTTTAAAGAAAGAATATTTTATAGAGCAAGATTTGTAAATTCACTCAATTGGTATAGTTGGCCATCTCTATAGGATTCAGTCTATGTCAAATCCGTCGTTTACTTGCCATCCCAAGACACGAGACCTTCTGAGATCACAGTTCATAAATATAGATAGATTAAGCTTGGCTTATGAATGAAAAAGTGGAATAACCTTTACAGGTTTAGCTGGGTTTTTGTCTAAGCATTATGCAATGGTAGTGAAAGGAGTGGAAAAACTATTCGATATTCCAAACGAAAATATTCGGCCAAAACCACTATTCGCTTCGAATTCGCTTCGGACTCAAAATTAACTATTCGTACAAGACTACTTTAAAGTAGTAAGTAAGATTATAAACCTCAAGAGATAATAAACATAAATATCAAAAAATGAAACAGAGGACGGAGCGACGTTGACGCCCTAGGATGGCATTAAATATGCAGTGTGTCTGCTCTGCCCAAAACCAATTGGGGTTACGACGAGGCTGAAAATACCTTCGGACCTAAAAAGACAGTCTACGTTGTGCGACTCAGCAAGTCGTAAGCACGTGAAACATCCTATCCAGTGTCACAGCTCGGTGACTGGCTCTCCCAGTTTCTTTGGGAGAAAGTAGACACACCAGATGTTTATAGGGTGTATACCCGTACGCTCTGCCTCTACATTTCCGCAGAGCCAGTGGAAGACCAATCGCTATATAGGTGCGGTAAGAGCTTTGTGAAGGACGAGGCCGAAAATAAGCTTAGTACACCTTAAAATGAAGCCCAGCTGCAACGCGACACGAGCCACGACGTGATCATGCGTTTCACGCTCCGAATATGCCTAAACCTACAAATATTGAAACCGTAAAACTATGTATCAGCCTAAAAATGAAGTCTGTAACGTGACACTGAGCGTGAACTTTCGCGTGTTCATAAAATATCCTTCGTAGCCTTTGCTTTTAGGTCTAAAGATATTTTCGGCTTCATCATTCGTCAAAGATCGCAGCGATTGGCCCGCCCAAATGTTGCGCGCGAAAACGTCGAAGCGCAGTAATTTATTTTTAAGATGCACCTATATAAGCACTGGCAACTTAAAAGACACGCGGGGCCTGGTGAGTTCTAAACATCTAATAAATATGCGCTCCTCATCTTCTCAGCGGTATGCGCATGTTGCACTCGGCCAGGGGGCGCGAGTGCATCCCAGTGCATCCACCAGACGCGACAATGTAATGTTACTTCGGCGTCTGCAAAGACCCGACCATCAATTGATGGTCGGGTCTTTGCAGACGCCGAAGGAACATCGAAGTAAAATCGAACGCTACAACGCCGCCTTAAAGCGGCGTTGTAGCGTTCGATTATACACGAGCCACGTTCGAATGCTAGCGTCCGTCAGCGTCTGTTCATACGGGTAAAATTTAAAACAAAAATGAACAAAAGCTATGTTTAGCTGCGATCTATTAGCGTTTTCGAAACAGCAGGAATACATTTCTTTCGACTGTTTTGTTCGTGTTTTCTTTCATAGCGCCTTTCAGCAACGAGGGAAACGACCTAAAAGTATTTCATTTTACTCGCGAGGGGCGCTGCTCAAAACTATGTGCATTTTCTCAGTGACACTTAAAGGGGCGGTGCAAAGACATTCAATTGGAATGTTTTTCACTTTACACGAGCTTACTGACACTAGTAGGGCTCGAGGTTACTCGCACCCAACGCCACTAGCCAAGAAACTTCTTTGTTGCGGTGTAGTTTCAAGGACAAAAGCGATCATTTTTATTCAATCCCTCCTTTTCAAAATTTGAGGACGTAACCTGGGGATCGCTGTACACCCCAATGACGATATTTTAATGCGCTTCATAGATTGGACCCGAGCATTGCGTGGGCGCTCGATTTGGGCTCGTGATAATTACTACCTCGAGAAGCATCCGGGTCGTGGCCCGTGTCCAATCGCTGCAACGACGACAATAGCCGAACCATGACGATGTCTGGAACTCAGCTCGCGTCCTGTCCCTTGCCGACCCCAGCTATCATAGCCCGTGGCTATGATTAACATTGGCGGCATATAATCGGCTCCGGATCACGTGGCCGCTTGTTCCGGCTCCGAGTTGAGGGGGTGAACTCTGCTCGTTTTTCTTTAATTTTTTACTGGGTCTTCTATTCCGTGGGGTGAAAAACGAACGCATGTTTCATGGGTCATTAACGTGAGGGATCCGTTCTCAGCGGTATTGGCGCAAAGTACAAAAATTGTTCCATGGCCCCTTTAAGTGATCGACCTCCTGTGTGCAGCGGACACGGACAAGCTGGTGAACGTGGCGCAGGGCAAGCCCGCGCTGCAGAACACCACGTACGAGCACTACGACGCCCAGCTGGCCGTGGACGGCAACGAGGAGAGCTCGTTCTCGGCGGGCTCGTGCGTCTCCACCGAGTTCATCAAGGACCCCTGGTGGCAGGTGAACCTGCAGAAGGAGCACCTCATCTACGCGGTAGAGATCCACAACATGGTCGAGAACGTGGTGAGGGCCGCTCTCTCTCTCTCTCTCTCTCTCCTCGTGCAGGCACTCACACCGCTCCGTACAAAAGTCCCGGAGTTTCTCCGCAGACATGATGACAGATTTATCCGCAGTCACGCATCAATCATTTTCGAACCATGTTTGCTTCATACGCCGTGTTAACATGTCGGCAAGTAGTTTTTGCATGCCCAGTATGACAGGACCGGCATACAAGGAAGACCTCAGGCAGTGTGTGGAGACCGTCCTTCCTTACGATGAATTAGCAGTCCGACCGCGGTTTTAGATATCGAACGTTTTTGATGTGACGGCCGAGGATCCCTTTCGTCAGTCTCCGTGCACCCAAAAAAGAAGTATGTGAGTTTGTTATACATGATGGGGAAAACAGCTTAAAAAACTCGGGCTACGAACAAGAACAAACACGACAGGACAATGAAGCATATTCCTGTCGTGTTTGTTCCACTTCGTTGTTCGCGTTTTCTGAGCTATTTTCCCCGTCATGTATAACGTCAGCAAACTGGCCCAGTTCACCACCTTATGTGAGCTCGCTTCCCCGCAGAACACGTAGGGGGCCATTCACGGCCAGGGGCGGACGCAGGTATTTCTTGAGAGGGGGGGGGAGGGGGGGGGGGGGGGGGGAGGGGGGGGGGCTGGGAGGGGGGGGGGGGGCGGGGAGGGAGGGTCAGGTGTTGGTCACCGTATTATATGTTTAGGACCCCCCTTTTTTTTTCCCGTTTCCATGCCTTAAATTTTTACACATGCAGAATTCAAGCAGGGGGTCAGAACATCCGGACCCCCCCCCCCCCCCCCCCCCCCCCCCCCCCCCCCCCCCCTCTGAATCCGCCCCTGTTCACGGCTAACGACAGAAGGATCTCAGCGAATGCTTTCTGAGCCAAAAGGGACGAAAGCTCCTGGTTCAGAAGTAACACCGGGCACGGCCTGTTATGTTTGCTCTTCGCTTTCGTGCCACAATCTGATTGGCCGTAGAGAGATAATACAAAGCCCGCGGAACTCCTCACGCCTTGCGTTTCTCAAACTGTCAGTGAGTATGGGCGCATACAAAGTGAAAACGGGGGCAGGAGCTTCAGGTGTCCCGCCTCCGAGCACGAGCGTCGTATACCAACCCTATCTTCGACGATGTTCTGGCGCCTCGTGCACCTCGCGCGCGCGGAGCCAAATCAGAGCGGAAGGCATAGAGCGCGTGCTGGAGCGCGTCTTGCAGCGCGTCCAGCTTGTCTTACATCATCTGAAAACGAGTGTCAGGCTAGCACGCGGCGAAGCTCGGACGGACGCGTCTGCCACGATTCTCTTTGAGCTTCCGTATGTTTGCTACTCGGGGCGGGGTGGGGATTCAATAACTATATGACGTCATGACCAGGCCTTGTCTTTTGGGTGGTCTTGGAGGAATGCTGAACGCGTGTTCTTAAATTATTTAACGACAAAAGCCAGACCTGATTTGCACCTTTTAGTGGTAGTATTTCTTTTTTCTTTTTCAACCTTGAAGTGACAATTTAAAGAGTTTATTGACCACGAGGTGTCAATAAAGCCTTTCTGAAATTTAGTGCTTCGGCCCAATGTCGCGGCGTGTGCTTGCATAGTTTGACAGCGCAAACATATATAGATCACGTCGCAATGCTCCTCGCGAGCCAGAAAAAGGAGTGAAGTACTGGAGATTGCCTGGGGGGAGTGTCACGTCTGTTTGCTAGGCCAATCATAAAAAAAGGGCTCATTCCAATATTGGCGGTTATTGCGTCACCGGCAACGTTTCTTCCTGCCCTTGAAAGTCTCGCTAGCACGAAAGAGAAACGCTGACGCGTGAAAGCAATGTTGAACTTATTGAATATAAATATATAACCCCACCTCCATAGCTTTTATTTATTTGTTTTTTTTTTTTTGCGTGGGATGATTTGTCAATAGTTAGGAACTTAGGAAGTGCCAAGTTGTTTAAATCGCCGTCATCTTCAAGGCACATGGAGAAATATAAACTTATAAAAAGACACGTTTCTTAGGACCTTGAGGTCCTTCGGTTGCTCGACGATTCTTGTTCATGGGAGGTGCCGATTTTTTATCTTCCTTGTTTGTGGCCCCATTTGCAGTTTTGGAAATGTTCTGCTGATTACGCGTCCGAATTTGAGATAGGATTTCTTTTCATTTTTCATGAGAATTGTCCGCAATGTCCTTTTCGCCAATTTTTTTTTTATTATTTCATTATTTTAGTTTGGCAGCTTATTAGTTATGGATGAAGAAAGAATAAACAATTAAAACAGGGACAACACAACTACATCTTTCAACTAGCAACAGACGAGTAAACTTTCAACAGCGAGCAGCCAACTATACCCAGTAGGAGTAGGGGAGAGAAGGGGAGAGAAGGAAAGATAAAACACGCGAAGTGCAAGTCAGGGTGGTAGGGTTATCTCGGATTTTAAAAATTCAACCTCAGTTTTCGTCAGCAGGAGGGAAGGGTTTGACACGTTGCTTTTTGCTGTGGTCATGGCGAATGATTCTATGATTTCCCTGCCGAATCTGCTGTCATGCCCCCCAAGGATTGTTGTGCCACCCTGACTTGCACTTCGCGTGTTTTATCTTTCCTTCTCTCCCCTTCTCTCCCCTACTCCTACTGGGTATAGTTGGCTGCTCGCTGTTGAAAGTTTACTCGTCTGTTGCTAGTTGAAAGATGTAGTTGTGTTGTCCCTGTTTTAATTGTTTATTCTTTCTTCATCCATGACTTAAACCAACACGCTCTTCTACTAAGCATATTATACTTCGTTTCAGTTGAGGTCCGAGCGCGGCCAATGTTATGAGCAGAAGGGCCAATCAAACAGCGCAAAAAGCGCAACGTCATGGCGTGCTCTCTGCTCTTGATAGGACTAGCCGGCGGAGGAGCACGCACAGAGAGACGGCGAATACCGCCTGGTCCTATCAACTGCAGAGTGCACGCCATGGCGTTGTGCCTCTTTCGCTGTTTAATTGGCCCTTCGGCTCATAACATCGGCAGCGCTCGGACCGAAGCTGAAACGAAGTATAGTTATGGCCTATCGTAAAAGTTATATTTTTGTGGAAGAGCGTGACTCAATCGACTATTTTCATTTCGTGCTTTTTTTTACCTATTTTAACGGCTTCGTATTGTGACGGCCATGCGCTCTGTATGTTGGGTTCAGCCGAGAAAGCTAGCCTGGTGTGTCTCTGCTCAAAGTCGCAATGGTCAGTGAGAGAATCAAAACCGCGTGGCGTCTCTTTCCGATACCCGACCTCCGGGCATCGGCAAGCATAGCTGCGTAAGCATGCTGTGTCCCATTGGCGGCTTCCAGGAACTGCCTAGCCCCACCCCAGCGACGTGGCCTCCCGGTTCCTACGGGCTGCCCATGCCAGTGTCCGGCTGCCCCTCATCCGTGGGCTTCACTTGGGCCACGGGCTGCAGGTTCCACGACATTGCGTACGACGTCGTGGAGGACGACAAGATCCGCCATTGGAGCGACGGCATGAAGCTCAAAGGTGACCTCGAGTTCCGCAGCACCAGATCTTTTGAACCGCTCGCAAGTCGATGAAAATTGGCCGCTAGCACAGATTATGTTCTGTGTATTCTTTCGATTGGAACACTTGGCGGTTCAAGCGCTTAATGTGCGACGTGTAACATAACGCACGTTTATGGAACAGAACAAAACAAAAACAAAAAAACACTTTTTGAGTTGCGAATTTTTTTAAATGGTGCAATATGTAACATGCTTAGCCGAGACAGGTAAGGGAGCATCATGCTTAGCGACTCTTTTGTCGCCTCATAACCTGGGCCCGTTTACTCGAAGCGCTAACCGCGGCTAAAGTTAGCCGCAGTACCTAGGAGAGGGATTTTGAGATCACTTGACTGGCTCGGTAGGGATGCGGCCGGGGAAACATGGCGGTGCCCCAGTGAGCGAGCTCCGCTCGAATCGGAACTAATATGTCGTTGTAGCTGCAATATCGGGCGCGTTAGCCAGCAACAAATGGTGCAGGAGGCTTTCGCTTTGCTTTACCTCACTTAAACCGCAAAGCATGGGCAATGACATCGTCGCATTTTTTAGATAGTGTTTCGATTCTGGGCATTCCTAAGCCTAAATGAACGCGATAATTGTCGGCATGGCAACGTCTTTAGAGAGCGGATTGTTGATAGCACACAAAAGCAGACAGCGTCTGCTTTTGTCTACTGGCGCGAGATACTGCTCGCCTTCCTCACTGGGTGGGCTTGATTAAAGACTCCGTCACACCGCTACCACATAATACAAAAGACAGTCTGCTGCCACTGTCTAGGGCGCGTTTGTTTCTTGTACGACAGTCCTGTGACATTGGTCGTGCAAAAACTGTCTGCAGCCATGTTCGAATCATGTATGAAGCAAACATGCGTCGAACGTACAGGTTTGTTCGCAGGTTATCTCGTCATGTCTGTATAGCGAACACCGATCGCCTAAATATGGCGGTAACTCACTCTGGGGGTTCTAAGCATCCTAGAAGTCTCTAGTCACAACGATACCTGATCAATTTCCCTATTAAAAAATCAATAAAAGATCGCAGCACACCGAGGTCATCTCCGGCGATGGGAGGAGCATGTTCCGAGACCAGGACCACCAACAGCCAATAGCGAGCGGAAGATCCTCGCGCCTCCGATTGGTGGCGCCAGGATATCTCGAATGCGCACGGCTCGATGCCCATACAGCCCGGACTACAATGCAACGCAGCGAGCGCGCGCCCAAAGAGCTGAGGACCGGACACATCACTCTCGCGAAAAAAAAAAAAAAACATAGTGCGTTGTTTTTAAGACGATTATCGCAATAATATATTCCCTCTCCGTGAAAAAAAAAAAAAAACATTTTTCGATTTTTTTTATTTGTTTTTGTCATCTACAAAAGCATACACATTTTGTAATCACACCGTTTGCACTCTGAACGAAATGTCGCGTTTCATTGGTGACATGTCGTCCTGTGTGCCGGAACGAGGCATGTAGCGAGGATTCTGTTTCGGGGAGGACGAGGGGGGGGGGGGGGGGGGGGTACACGCCCGTGACAAAATGCTTTATGAGGTGGAGAGGATAGAAAAGACCCCAACAAAATACAAGTTTCTTAGTTTATCTTTTTTTTTTTTTGGGAGAGGGGGGGGGGGGGGGGGCGCCCGGGCCCCATGCCGTCCCTTGGGTGCGTGCCTGGTACAAAACAATACTCCTTTCATCGCCGGGGATGACCTCGGCGTGTTCGATCTTTGATAGTTGTTTGTTGCGAATGGCGGCTGTGCCCTCCTCCGCAGGCGGCCTTCAGGAGGACGGCGGCGTGGAGCAATGTTTCTGCGTGAAGAAGGACGACGCCCCGCCGAGCAACGCGACGACCCCGTGGTCCCCGGGCAACTACTGCATCCTGCAGGTCGGGGACACGTGCCCGGACGGCTTTCAGAGCGGCTACATCACCTGGATGGATCAGCAGCCGACGGCCCCGGATGCCCACAACCGGGTGTCCGGCACCGTGCCCCGGGGACGCTACACGGCCCACAACACGACGCTGTACTTTTGCTGCCGCAACGACGGCAGCCCCGACGTCGCAATCAGGCTGCCCACGGACCTTCCCTTTTACCTGCTGCAGTACGACGCCGGCACGTGCCAGAAGGTGCAGGGCATGTCCGTGTTCGAGCAGTCCTTTCACTTCATGGAGGACGATGTCGGGGCCCGCTCGCCGCTCGACACCGACGCTCCCGGGGGGATGCCCAAGTTCAAGGAGGGCCACCCCCGGGTCGACTCGACGCTTTTCGACAGGGGACTCGTGCTATACTACTGCTATTACGATGTCGGTAAGTGCCTGCCTTCGGCACTTTCGGGGGAAAAAAAAAAGAGGGATGTTCTCTTTGAAGAAGAGACCTTCGTGTAGTGCGTATTCCAAAACGATGAAGCGTCAATCTGGAGTCTTCTCGCGGGCGTAAAATCCAAGCAGCTTCGCTTGAATCTGTATCCCTTACTATCTGTTATTTATTACCGTTTTTCTTTCTCTCATTTGGTTCTTAAAAATACGCAAAACGAAAAGACAACACATATTTGGTCTTCTCCTTTCGAAACTAATCTGCTTCATAATTGTAAAAAAAAAAAAAAAAAAAACGAACACAAAATTTTGGCCAAAATAAAGTATAGGTAATGAGAAATAGAAAAGTAATATTTTTTTAACCGGCAGCCACTCATATAACTTTCATATAAATCATATAGCTCAACCAAATTCAGATAGATATGCCGGAGATAAAATAACTAAGAAGCCAATTTGCTGTTTAAGCTCAGCGAGGCTCACATTTGAATGTTTCGTTTTCCATTTGTAGTTAAAGCAAGTACAGAGCAAACAGAAGAGCCCAAACAAATTGAACGACTTCGATAAACTTCTTTACTTCCCTCGCAACTCCTCCTGCATTTTTTCCTCACTTATTTCAGTAGGGTTCGTAAAAAAACTCTAAGCAATGACACTACTGCTAATTAGGAAGGGCTCGTGGTTGTCATAAAAGCTTTTCGATGAGCTCCTTTCTAGTGCTGACAAATACGCTATTGCCCGAAGCGCGTGCCACTGGCGATTATTCGAATAACACGGCGGTGCTCATTGCGCCGATCTGTCCAAACGCGCCATAGTATTTCTCCAGAACTCGCCCGTGACACGTGCCGCCCGCGTTCGCGCAGCAATACTGCCTTGTTCTTACGAAGAAAGGGGAAGCGTGCATTGTATCAATCGGCTCTAGGCTGTCAGTCTACAATCATATGTTACGTAATTACAAGAAAAAGAAAAAAAAATGAGTCGGTAATCTATAAAACGAATGTGAAAATCTGCGCGGTAATAGACCTGTTGCAGTACGTGCACTCGCAGAAGGGAATGCCGGGAACGATCATACAGATGGTTGTAGCAGACGATGAAGGAAGCGGAGAAAACGCAGACGGGCGGGCGAGGGCAGGCGCGCGAGCGACGGCAGGCGAGTGACTGCGCACGGCGTTTTGGCATTTTTGAAAAACAACTCGGAGTGGACATGTGAGTGAGAGCCGTCCGACTACGTGCAGGCGCAGTCTAAAAGTCAGTGACCTCGAGCTCCAAAGAGATAGCGCACTCGGTGAGTTCTTATCTTTCTCGGCATCTCTTTGGCACTGAATCGTATCTCTCTCGAGGTCCCGTGTCTGGTCGAGCGTGCGAACCCATGGTGAACACTGCGCGCAGATTTGGAGCGCGCCAAAAGTGCCCCCTTTCTGGAGCGCGCTTCTTCCGCTGGCAGATCCGGCTCAAGTTGGTACTCTTCCGCTCGTAGATTTGTGGCAGCTTCCGTCCCGTTGAGCGCTTCCGACCCCACTGATGTTGACTCATGAAAATCGGGGGAGCTTGGTGGAAGCCGACAGAAGCGCCCTTCGTCGGTTCCTTTCACTCGGCGTTATGCATGCGCGGCGCGATCGCCAGACCTAGCCGAACCGTCTGGTGGCAATCAGTTCATCGAATGACGTTTCATCGACAGATCGTTTCATCGACAGATCGTTTCATCGACAGATCGTTTCATCGACAAGTCGTTTCGTCGATAGCTCAGATTAGCCTTTTTCTGTAATAAGCTACGTGAAGCTGCCGCCGCGAAGCTGTGTGTGCGGGTCGGTCGGGTGGGTTAACATTTTTGTAGTGAGCCGCCGCAGACTGTCGCCGCGAAGCGGCGTGAACGCAGGCGGGAGGGGGGTTAACGCGCACCCCAGTGATACACGCGTGACGAAATGTCCCTACAGCGTGCAGTTCGTGTAATGAGTGTCGATGAAATGTTCGTGTCGACGAAACGTGTGTCCATGAAAAATTGTCCTCGAAACGTAATTACACGAAACGAGTTTCGACGAAACGATAAGGACTCGAACGGTCGGCGTCGAGTAGGATCCGTTCGGTCGCATTGCTTGTTTACACGGCGTTTAGAGTCACAGCTCGAACTCTCGTACCTCGCATCGACCAGGGGTGCGGAGGCGGGACTGGAGCGTGGCAAATCGTAATCGCTGACATTGATCCTGAGCTGAAAAACGTGAAAAGGAACGGCAGAAAATCCGAAGAAGGAAGCAGACGCAAGGTTAGGTGTGCTCATTTTATTGCAGCTAAATGTCGTCGATTGCTGTTGTGGGTGTATCTCAAAACGTCCCATTCGCATTTGAACCTTGCACATTTCAACCCATTCTCATTTGGTCCTTCTCGTTCGAACCTTCTCATAAGATCCGAATCGTGTTTTTCGCAACTGGACCCATTCACATTTCACCCGTTCGCGCTACGACCGAATGGCACTAGTTCGGCATGCTTCTAACGTCGTTATGCCTTCGCGGCTTTGTTGATGAGCCTTACCTTGCTTGGGCCCCCAACATACCATCAGATGTATGTTATGTGTAGAGGTACGCACTGAGAATCGTACATTGACGCCTGCTTCCCTTCCTCTAAGCAAACGAGAAAAAAAAGCGATGAACATTTAGTTTGGAAACTTTGTTTGAACAGAAATAGCATACATAATAGCAGTGGTTCTCAACCTTTAATGTTTCGCGGACGCCTTGTAGAAAGGTGGAGATGATGGAGGAATAGGAAGGTATAGGTTATCATGATAATGATTTAATAAATGGATATAACTAATTTCTAGTGTAAAGTCGACTTATCTTATTGACATACACACGAGAGTACTCTCCCGAAAATTGGAACGTTTCTTCTCAACGTGAAAAAAGACAACTAATATTGCCGTGCCTGACTGATGAGACAGGGCTTCGCGGACCCCTAGGATGTCTTCGCAGACCCCCTTTTGAGAACCACTGCATTATAGAAGTGGTTGCATTGTCCCAAGTTGAGAGACCTCAAACAACGTGACATTTCGGAATATGATCTGGCTGCGATAAATAGTTGGTCTGTTTTATTGTCAGCTAGTAGCTTTTCAGGACGACCTCGACGCACTGCTAAAATCCTTAGCAGAGAGAGTATGCCTGTAGTGTGGCACACACACACACACACACACACACACACACACACACACACACACACACACACACACACACACATACACACACACACACAAATACACACAAATCATATCAATGTATTAATATTACCCTGAAAAACGATTTTGTATAGAAAGAGTCAAGCGCGACGGGTCAAAGTGAGATATTTTTGAGAATGGCTGTTTTGAAAAGGGCCAGGTGAAAAGGGCGAAACGAGAACGGGCCCAAATGAGGAGGGTTGGAATGCGAAAGACGAAACGGGAAAGGACCATATGCGACAGGTCCAAGAGAGAAGATCTTTTTGAGAATGGTTGTTTTGAGAAGGGCCAAGTGAGAAGGTCGAAACGAGAACGGGCTCAAATGATAACCACCCGCCGTTCTTGTTGTTGTTTTAAATGAAGCACTGTTTATTAATGTTTTACCACCAATCTAAGTTCCACCCGGTGCGGCCGAAAGGTATGAAATGGCGAACGCAAACCTCTTCCTCTCTATTTGTGACGTGGTCTGCGGGAATGCGCCAGACCTGTGTCGCGTGTTGCTTCCGCATCTGGACAGCTACAAATGTGGTAGATCGTCGGAGAGCTCAATCGGCTCGCTAAGTTTGAGCTCGGGCAACTCCGAGCAGCGGCCATTTTGAACAACAGACAGTCTCCGGCCGGTGGCACCAAAAATGCAAGTCCATTTTCCGCTCGTCGATTTGGAGCGTGTCCCACGGAGCAGACTCCCGCCTCTCTCGCGGATTCTGGAAACCGCTCCGTATTCACCAGTCTCATCGTCGATAGCTATAACCCTCGTTATACTGGGTGTGCGCGCCAAATCCGGCCGCCACGACAGGGGGAGAGAAATATTTCCGGTTCTCTTCTGTTTACCATGGTGTTTGGATGGGTGCGCGACGACTATTGGTTCACTAGCAAGCAATTTCGTGAGAGCTGCACTCTAGAAATTCCCCATCGTTGTGCTTTTAAGCTGTCGTTGCGTACCGGCATGAACAAAATGTCACAGGTGAAGTTATTCCGATCATCTCGAGGGGAGGGACGCCAACGACGCCGCCGACCTTGGGTGATCGCTGTTGCGACTGCAGGAGGGGTCGGTCTCAGGTGCGGAACCAGGAGTCAAGACATCTTGTAAACCCTGAGATGGGGAACGATAAAAAAACGGACGAACACAACAAAATTTGTCGCTCGCTGACCGCATAGCCCCGATGAAATAGACCTGGTGTGGGATTACTGAAGTAGAACTTTTATGTACAGTGAATATACAGGTAGCTGGTCGACAGCCCAATCGGCGACTTCGAGCCCCCTTAACCCCTAATATATAGCTCTCCGAAGGCGAGAAGGCCCTCTGGAAGACAGCAGCCTTCTCCAGGGTCCGAATGTCCACGTGGTGTTCGAGGTTTCGGGGGCGGCTGGTGCAATTGTCCTTTGTTCTTTCAGCGAGGTGCAGATGATGCAACCCCTAGCCGCTCTGGCCATGCTCCGGCGCTCGACGCTCTTGCCGCTGGAACTGAAACGCACACACACATATGCACACGCACGCACACACGCGCGCTCCGGTACTTTTCTTTGCGAGGGCTGGCAGTCCGAGATCGTCTGGTGGCTTCCAGAAGACGTTCCTTTTGTGTTTAGAGCCCTAAGCGAAGGTGGCAGAGGCCACCACCACCCGCCTGATGTCTCAAGGGTGCTGCACCCCGTGTAGAGTATGGTGTTCTCGAGCGGTCTCTCCTTCAGCGCTCCCAGAAACACAACATAGCAGGACGACGGCGTTGGCAGACGGTAGATATGCTCCGAGATCCGACGCATCTCGGAGGTCATGGACGGTGCATGGCCTCCGAGATTCGACG